AATTTAATAGTTTTAAAAACCAAGTAGTCGGTCATTTAGAAAGTAATGGTTGGCTATTTGTGATTTTTAATTATTTGATAATATTCTATTTGTGAAATATTTTTATTGTACAAACTTGTAATTTGTTTTTTTTTATCTGTTTGCATAGTAAAATAAAACTAAATAAAGCTTTTTTCCAGTGAATATTGTTTCACAGACTTTTTAGCCAAGCACAATCGTTTGTGATTCTTCATTATGTTTGCACATAAGTACCCCCAGCAAAGTATATGCCTAAATATTTAAGGGGGAATCATGGTTATGCTGAGCTGAGAGTAAGGTCAGCCAAATGGGGCGTGGAAAGCCCTACGTGGAGGAAATGTCTAGTTTCCTCATTGTATAAGTAGATGATACAATGAGACTATTAAATACATTGAAAATACCAGAAAGTGCACAGAAAATAGTGTGTATGTTGTATACGTATGTAAGCTGAATGTAGGGTCTGCCAAATGAGGTGAAAAGGGCATTTCGAGAGGAATCCTCATTGTATATAATAATGTTTTTGCATATTTGCATATATTCAAGAATATATCACTGTGAACATTATTCATTTTATCTCAATAATAAATAAATGTATTAATAATATTGAAACAATTTACGAGCGTAACAAGAAAACTCTCGTCTGTCCTTTGAATTTGTATATTGTAAGAGTGTATTCTGATCAAATAAAGCAGGTTTACTCACAATCATCACAGTTAGTCAAATGTTCACCCTTAGAACATGCAGTCTGTGATGACAACTTGTAACATCTTTTAGAGCGCTTGATACATTGTCCATCGTAACATCGGAACTCTTCATCAGAACATTGTTCTGTACAGCGACAAACAACAAATACCAATCTCAGAATGTTATGCAATTTTGTTATATATATAAGTAATGCAATACTTGTATGTGTTTCAATTGTACGCAATACCCAAATATTTCCAAAACCTGGTATACTAGCTGATTAGGTTCCCCATTCTCACAAATTTTAACTAATGTTTTCGTATGTTTTACGCCGAGAAACGTGAAACGCGTTGTAGTGTGTTACGCCGTGCTTCATACTTACGAAGTGGATATCTGCAATCGACATTATTGGGTTCATCGCTATCGTCGTAACAATCCCTTACACCATTACAAAAGGCTGCCATTGGAATACAGTGCAAACTGTTACACGTCCACTCATCTGTGCCGCACGTTACTAAATAAACACATACACGAGTTTATTATAATTATATAATCAGTATATTGGGAGTGCACATAACCCTGTCATAATCACAAACATCATAAAATGAAATGAAACAATGCACCGCACTGCCGCCAACTTCTTTTTGGAAACATCAACACTTGAGTCTTAAATAATTGTTTTCCTATCTGGTGGAACGTCCTTCAAAAAAGCATGTACACAACAACTAGGTTGATATATCTTCTTAATTTTCATTGGTTGGTTTATGTTTACTTATACAAAAAATATCTAACAGAAAATTGGCAACCTCTTGTTAAATAAAACCCTTCCTAAAAATGTCACAAAAACCCATTTATAAACTTTTTAGTTGGTAAATTTACCCCACATCCCTATCCGAATATAAACCACTTATTGCAAAGAAAAATACCCCCACTCAATTTCATAGAATTCATCCATATTTGTTGTAGTTATAAATAATCATTCACGTAATTGTTGTTTCCATGGCAGTTATATCTACCAATATAAACTTGCTGGGTCCGTATCCAAGGTAACCAATTCTAAATATTACCCTTAAAACAACCAAACGTACACATTTAAAAACGCTACCCTTTTGGCAGAGGTAATAATAGCATAAACACATTCAACAAATACAAGACGTTTCTGTTCATCTAGAGCTTTATCACAGTGAATATCAACTACGTTGTATTCAATTAAAACGAAATTAATGTAATACAAATGACGCTTTTTAAAACGCAAATAAGTAATACTTCTTCTATGCAGAAAATAACCCAGCTTCACTGAATTTTAACAAATAATTATTTTTATTGACTTATTTAAACAAACGTAAATAAATATAAATGTCAATAAATGAACATCTGAATTACCTATAGGACAATCTGCTTCATCACTGTCATCAAAGCAATCAAATACACGATCACATTTCTGGTCTAATGGTATGCACGTACCATCGTGACATTCGAATTCCGACTCAGAACAATCTCCTTAAAATCAAAATGGATAACATGATGTTACGTTTTTACATAATTTTGGTGATGTGAATACACAATATATGTATTAAAAAGTGTGCTTTATTCATTAAAACAACGGGTAGTTCAAATTATACATACTACAATTCATCTCATCTTCTGAATGTAAACAGTCCCTTACTCCATTGCACCACATGTAAGATTTAATGCAGTTGTTCTGTCCATCATTACACGGTATATCTTTTGCTGAACAGGGTGCT